GGAGGAGGTGGAAGAGGAACACACAACATAGATCCCTCCTCGCATGCACCATTTATAGTAGGTTTTGCGCTCCTACAAGATTCTAATGTCTGGTGATCTGAGGTGGAACTGGAGAACTCTTGTAAATGCAGGTAGTCCTTGACTTACGACCACAATTGAGCCCAACATTTCTGCGGCTAAGTGAAACATTTGTAAAACCATTTTACAACCTTCCTTGCCAAAGTTGTTAAATGAATCACTGCAGTTGATTCACTGTCGCTAAGTGAATCTGGCTTCCCCGTTGCTTGTCAGATGGTTGCAAAAGGGGATCACACATGACTTCAACACTGCAATCGTCATAAACATGAGTCAGTTGCCAAGCATCTGAATTTTTATGTGACCATGGGGATGCTGAAACGGTCGTAAGTGAAAGGGGTCACTTTTTTTTCAGTACTGGTGTAATTTTGGTCATTAAATGAACTAATAAATCGAGGACTACCTGTACAGATGAGGCTTTGCACACTCACCCACTACTCACCTCCAGGCATGTTGCCCGGTTCCTAACAAGCCACAGAGACCAGTACCGGTCTTTGGTGCAGGGGTTAAGGACCCCTGCTCTAGAGTACTCTGCAGGACTCAAGCTTGGCTTGATACATCTTATAGCAATAGCACTTAGATCTATATACTGCTTTACACCTCCCTCTCTAAGCGGTTGACAGAGTCAGCCTCTTGCCCCCAACAATCTCGGTCCTCATTTTACCAACCTCGGAAGGATGGAAAGCTCGGTCAACCTTGAGCCAGTCAGGATCGAACTGCAGAACTTCAATCAGCAGAATTAGCCTGCCATACTGCATTTTAATCACTGCGCCACTACGGCTCTTACAGGTAGTCCTCACTTACTGTGTCCTGTTTAACAACTGAAGCAGTGCTGAAAAAGTAAAACTGTGACCAGTCCTCACAGCAATGACCATTGCAGCATCCCATAGTCACGTGATGATCCTTTGTATGCTTCACAGCCAGCCTGCAGTAAATCGCAAGCTGCAGCCATGCAATACCTCGCTTCGTGAGTGCAGTTTGATTTGCTTAATGACTAGGGCGGAAGTGGCATTGTAGGTCCTGTGCATATATTGTTTTGCTTAAGGACCATTTCACTTAGTAACAGAGTTGCTGCTCATGGTTGTGTTCATTAAGCATGGAAAAAGCAAAAGTTAAAACGTTAAATTGTTCTTTTAGCTCAGGGCCCCCAAACCTGGCAACTTTAAGACTTGTGGACTTCTGGCTGGAGAATTCTGGGAGTTGAAGTCCACAAGTCTTAAAGTTGCCAAGTTTGAAGATCTTTTTAGCTAGACAAAAAAAATAAAAAACAACCCAATGCATAGGATTCACAATAAGGGCCCAGGCCTAGATGACTGATCAGAGAACATTTTCATTAGTCCTTTGCTTGATGGGTACTGTTGCCGTGTGGTGATGATGTGAAGTTTTGCAGCCCAGATATTCCAGCCTGTGAAGTCCTAAGGAACAGACCAAGTTACTTCTCTGCCAGCCAGTCTGTCTGCTTTCACCCCCTATTTACACCGCCTGCTTCACAGATGCAGGATTTCTAACAAACAGCTTATGTACCCTGCTGTTCCCATTATTGCAAGGGCTGGCTTTTTAAAGGGGGCTAGCAACTTATTTTTGGGTTACCCCATTTTTCTTAAGCTAAAGAAATTAAAGGTTTTTTAAGAATTTTGATTGCCTTTCTTGTTTTCTTGAGAAAATCAGACAGGGGAGCCTATTTAAGATCAAAAAGCTGATAGTCTACCCTCCACTTTCCAGCAAAGAAAATATAATCAAAGTTCGATAAATATTCAAGCACGTCCCTTGTGTGTTGCATTTCACCACAACTCGGGATTAAAACGGTTACAATTTTCCCTGAATAGCAGTAGAATTTCTTTCAGGTCTCCATACTGAGGCTGGATTTCTCTGCTGCCATCTAATGGTCATCCACATTTTTGCAGCGCAGATATGGTAGCCCTGAGAATAAATTCTGCAGCAAAACTTTACACTGGTTTTGTGTGTGTGTGTGTTAAACAGTAATGCAATGGTTGCATAAAATTTAGCAACAATTACAGTACCCTAGAACTTCCACCATGCCTTTAAGGCAGTGTTTCTCAACCTTGTCAACTTGAAGGTGTCTGGACTTCAACTCCCAGAATTCCCCAGCCAGCTGGCTGGGGAATTCTGGGAGTTGAAGTC